TGATTCATCTCAGTAAAGACTACTTAAAACATTTAAGTTTTGCCTGACTTCGGATCGCCACTTCTTCTTCTTCGTGTTCACCAGCTGGAAGCTCTGGCAGAAAGTTCTGGTTGTTCATCCACCTTTGGACTGCAGTCCTGTTGCAGAAGCTGAGTGTTGCGTGTGCATCCGTCATTTTACAGATCTGACTCATTTGTATGCAGACTGCTGGCTCCTTGCCTCTCAGGCTTATGCACTCCGACTTCAAAGAAAGCTCCCAATTAGTCGACTCTTAAGACATGCTTTAGGGTAAGCAATGGGTCCATTCTTGTTTTCCCTATAAAAGGGCCCGGAACCCACACACTATTTTATTTACATACTATAAGTACACATCAGTACAAGTGCACTTTATTGGTATGCTTCCCCGTGGATGTTTCGGGGCCACATTGTGGAGAACACGAGAACAGAACCACTGTCTCTTTAACAAATGTGTCGCAAGAGGCTATTTATAGCTCCAGAAGGGCGTGGAGTCGACTAATTCGGAGTTTTCTTCAAAGTTGCAGTAAATCTGCCTGAGAGGCAAGAACTAGCAGTCTGCATAAAAATAAGGCAGATCTCTGAAAACGAATGCGTAAGCAAAACTCAGGTTCTGGAACAAGGCTAAAGTCCTGAGGTGGACGAGCAACCAGGACTTTCCACCGGCGCTTACAACCGGATTGGCACAGAAAATTCAAACGCTATGTTAATACTGCCAGCGGGTTTCTAGCCATTGATAGTTCAATGCACGGAGTCTGCATCTTCTTTCTGTTCCTCTTCTCCTTCTCCTAAGACTCAAAATGCTTAAGATATCTAGCCAGGCTCTTCAGGGCGTCACGAATGCTCTTGTAGAGTCTGTCTGGTGATATCCCGCGCTCTTGTTACTCTGGAGTCTGAGTCTATTTCATCTGTTTGTATATCTTGTACTGTGTGGCTGCATTCCACTGTGTACAATTGGATTTGTCAGTAGTGTTGGATTTTAAAACAAAAGCAATTCATTCAACTGTCCAAACAGTATGCCACTGATCATAATGTCTATTTTAAGGCACATTCTCTCAGTATTATCTCTCTCTCTCTCTCCTAGGCTGAACCTTTTATAATTACATCGACAAGGGTCCTCTCTTTCTGCACATAAGCACATGTTCTGGGCACTTCATGAAATAAAGAAGTGACACTTCTACAGCTTATGGCTAAACTTTTATGTCGCGTCTATTGACGACAAAGAAATATCCTCACAGGTAAACGTACTGCCAGAATATGACAGAAGACTGAGAAAGGGCAAGCGTGCTCTCTTGCCGCATCTGTACTATACGCTCGAATGACTGCAGGTTCATTCGCAGGTGTGAGCGGGATTATGACCTCTTTCCGGAGTTAACTAAAGATTTGGAACTAGCGCGCTCTTTTAGCAGTGAAGTGGTAACTAAACGCTGACTCGCACCCAAATAAAAACAAGCCTTGTTCTCTTTTCGCCCTTAGAAGGACGACTGGAACGTCATGTTGTGATTAACAACTAGGCTGGGCTTTCGGTGCAGCCGCTAGATGCTCGCCTGCGGACCGAAAGGTCGTAGATTCAGGCCAGGACCAAGCAGGACGTTTTCAAAATTGACCTTGACTCCCAGAACGACCTAACTATAAATGGGCACCAGGTACAGTCATGAGAAGTAAAGGCAGCCGGCGTGATGTTGACCACTTCACCCACCGAGGGCGCTGCTAGGTCTCGAGACATGTCGTCAGCCTCGAGTGATGGAGGTTCCGGGTTCAGGTCTCGGTAAAGGCCGGAATTTATTAACCTGGACTTCTAGCAATTTCCTCTGGTCTCTGGATTGTAAGATCGATAGCCCGTGTGTATTGTTGCGCACGTAAAAAATCCCTTGGCAGTTGGAAATCGAAAAACGTAGCCTAACGGCGCAGTCAAAAACTTTGCTCCGTCTACCCATTTATAATTTCTCTTGAAATTTACCCAGGAAAACAATTACATGTGCAAGATTGCTGGGAGCTACATAACAACACAAAGACAATATTCTTGAATCCGATATAAACATGAAACTAAAATAAAACGATGGCATTTAAATAATCAATGCTTAAGGCTATGCCCCGCTAGAAAACGTGTTTTATGCTGCAAAATAGGCGTATCGCAGCAAAATATCGAACAAGTTCTTAACCCTGATGTTGTTTTAGGTAGCATCTATAGTTTAGTCGACATTATTTAGTAAACAATTCTTCATTCATTTTATTCTTATCGGCCTGTTCACTGAAGACATATTCGTGGGGACTGCTTCCCTCCATTTTAAGGAAAGAAGGAGGGACACACACACACAAAACAATCTTGGGACACACGCACACACACACAAAACAATCTTCCACCTTACATTGATTTCAACATGGTGCATTCACCCCATAGCAATTGGCCATGAAAAATTCATCTCATGAAGAAGAACAAATCTGACGATATAAAGAAGAACCAGTCTGACGCTATAAAGAAGAACCAATCTGACGCTATAAAGAAGAACAAATCTGACGCTATAAAGAAGAACAAATCTGACGCTATAAAGAAGAACCAGCCTGACGCTATAACGAAGAACGAGTCTGACGTTATAAAAAAGAACCAATCTGACGCTAAAAAAGAGAACCAATCTGATGCTTTAAAGAAGAACCAATCTGACACTATAAAGAATAACCTGACGCTACAGAAAAGAAAAAAATATGACAACTATACTGAAATGGTGAATCTTATACCAAAAAATCATAATAAAACAATATTGCACTGATATAAGCATGATGATTTATTCTTACACCAACAAAAACATAATGAACCAAAATTACTTTGACATTAACCCAGTGAATTAATCTTATCAAGCTATGAAATTAATAAATCAAGATTAAGGCTATAAAAAAAAATATAAAAAAAATAATCGATGTTAAAAACAAAATGACCTTGCGGCAACATAAAAATGACAAATAAGCATTACAGCGATACTGCTTCCAAATGATTAACTATTTTTAGGGGTATACATTTGATTATTTTCTTTTTTTACTGTGTGTTCGATTATTTAAGTATCCACTGGTCGTCAACCACAGCTTTTTTGGACTATTTTTACTTTCCGTGTTTCTGTAATCCATCCGCAGTTGTAGCCAATGATTTGTTTCGTTTAATTTTACTTCCTGATCTCTCCGATCCCTGAACATGACGTCATCGGGGCAAACTACAAACTGTCAGCTGGGTTAATGACTCATGATAATTAATCCCCTCATTATGCAAATGTATGGCTTTGACAAGGAACGTTATATCATTGCACGTTTATACAATAGGACTAGAGTGGTTGCTCTAAACTTAAGATTCTGAATGTTTCAGCGGTGTGATAAATAATGAGCTATCAAGACTGTTAATTGCCATATGGGGTTCTGTTTACTACATGGGCGCCCGGGTCGACCCAGCTTGAAATGGGCACCAGAATATACTCAGGGAAGATGACCAGCGTCGTATTGTTAACATCGCCCATTATAGGACATATTAATTAAAACAAAATTATATCGTTTCCAACGGGAATGCAACCATGTCCACCAGATTTCAAGGCAGAAACATGCTAACCACGGCCCACCCGCGGACATCCTTCTCTCTCCCCCCCCCCCCCCATTTCCACAAACCACCACCTGATGTATGTCAACATGCTTTATATTACACCGGAAAAGATAGTGTTGACACGGTAATGCACTTATGGAAACAGTGTGTCCATATCGTGGGTGTTCGTTTTGGTATCCAGAAGCCGTGAGTTTTTAACCCTTAGGCTCCGTATTATGGATATCGCAACCTTTCGGCCTTGATTCCATTATAAATATCGTAAATCTGGGAGAAATGTGGCTTTTCTGCCTACCCCCAGGCGTGAACCCGGACCACAAGGAGTTCGTCACCCGGTCACCGCGCAATCCGGTTTAGCCAACTACGCTACAGAGCCGGGTCTATGTCGTGGGTGTAAACGAGTAGTAAACATTACCACAGCCAGGAAAGAGAGGCCCACGAGACATACGAGGGGTACAGTCGAGCAGCATAACACTGGTATTAGCCAGAAGGTACGCATTCATTTACTAAGCGGTGAATGTGGGCACATATGGTTGGCGTGTCCAGAATGCCATGAAGATGATCCCAATGACAACCTACAAGCAGTATGGCAGCGAAATGTAAGAATGGGTGTACATAGATAACACTTAATAATATGTTATATTATCACAATCGATGTCACTGTACACTGGATATTCCAATGCATGCTCAGTCCTCTTATGAAGCAGACACTTCAATGTACTTCTACATAAGAGGTCTGACTGACTGACTTTCTACTCCACCAGGACATCGCACAAGCGATAAACACCCGATGACACAAAGTGCCACCATGCGGATAAGGATCGCCGTGGAGAGGTCCCAGAAACCGCGTTTAGACATTTGGCCATATTTATGGCCTGCCTATATTGCGGCCCCCGGCAAAAGCCAGGGTGGAGCTTCAAATAACAAATTTCATCCTGAAAAGGACGATAGAGAATATTATTATACTATATAACCCATAAGAGGTTGGTTACAACGTCTCTTATCTCGGCTCCGAAGGTGGCACAGACGTGTTTCACCACACTTTACTGCCATAGTCACCCAATCGTGTTAGTGACCGAGATTCGATGACATTTAATAATTCCCCGTGTGGGTTCCGGGGCCCCAAATGTGGAGGAAAACAAGAATAGACTACTGCCTCCCTAACAAGCATGTCGTATGAGTCGATTATTTGGGGGTTTCCTTCGAAGTGCATCTGCCTGAGAGGCAATTAATCAACATTCTGCATGCAGATAAATCAGATTTGTAAAACAGATGTGCACGCAACACTTTTGCACCGAGTCTAAATCTCAGATGTGGATGAACAACGAAAACTTTCCCCCGGAGTTTACAGCCGGTTAACGCGAAAAAGAAGAATACATGTAATATGAATTCTAATAGAAGGACTTAC